AAAAAAGCTTTGAAAATGGGCCAAAAAAAGCCTAAAAAATGGGCCAAAAAGCCTTGGAAATGCTGGCTCAAACTGGGCCATAAAAAAACCTCAAAAAGGGACCAAAAAAAAGCCTCAAACACAGGCTGAAAAAAAGACTGAAAATGGGCCAAAAAGCCCCCAAAACAGGCCAAAAGTAAAAGAGCCAAAAAGAGCCTCAAAAATGGCTAGAAAAAAGGCTAGAAAAGGGCCAAAAATGGGGCACACAGAGGCCAAAAACCTTTTTTTGTTGTTTGTTTTCCTCTTCTAAATTTAGGTGCGTCTTATAATCCGAAAAATATGGTATGCGTCTCCTTTCATCCACCATCAACCAGCTCATAGGGCTATCCAGCTGGACACCATGGGACTTGCAACCTCCAAAAGATTGCCCATGTGGGGGCGTGTCAACCTAGTTCTATAGCGCTATGAAAGTTACTAATAGGTTTCACATGCTGGACAAATAACAATATTGTTAGAAAAATGGTTAACGGAGATAGAATCGGAGCCTGAGGCCATAGGTCAGGTTGCATGGACATTTGGACCAGAGAAGTATTTTAAAATTACTTTCTGTTCCTCGGGGGCCAAGACACTGAGAATGGAACCTGATCTACGTGTCTTCAGGCTAATAGTAGAGGTGCTGTGGCAGAGTTACACGTTGTAGCTGAGAATGAAGCTACATGGAGAGAAAAAGGGCTCCTGTTGGGCGAGTTCTGTGCTTTGCTCTGTGGAAGGAACATTCCATTCCTCACACTATTAAAGCATCAGTTGAGAATAGAAAAGCTTTTTTTTTTGCTGAGTTTCTATCTTGAGCTTTCTTCTAATCCCACCTAAGAGGATGAACGATCACCTTTTTGGGGATCTAGAAGGAAATTTCCTTTGGGTAAAATAGTGTAGAGCAGGGGTCCCCAAACTTGGCAATTTTAAGACTTGTGGATTTCAACTCTCAGAATTCTCCAGCCAGCAGAGCTGGCTGGAGAATTCTGAGAATTGAAGTCCGCAAGTCTTAAACTTGCCAAATTTGAAGACCTCTGGCCTAGAAAACACTGATTTGAGTAGTAGAGACCAATTGAGGTGGCCTTTGTGTCGCATGTAGCTTAGCTTGCCTGTTTGCTCGAGTCTTGGCAAACTTCACCCTTCTGTGGAAATCTAAGCCAGGATGCAAATGTCCTATTCTGACGTTTGGTGAACAGCTCTCACGTTTTGTACGGAGATTCAGTATTTGATCTTTTATCAACATTGTCGCAGAGGAAAAAGTCCCACCCTTTCAAGTGGTACACAACAAGGGTTTTCCAGCTTCCTCCTGAATCATAATACTAATCCATAAAGAAATTACTTGTTGAATGGCAGTGCAGATTTATGTTCAACGTTCCAACTATCCGCAAACGTGCATTTTGTGAGTTTCACCCCCCCCCCTCTTTCAGTGATGGGTTCCTAATTGGTTTACTACCAGTTCGCTGAGAGAGGGTGCTTTGTGCACGTGCAAAAATTTTGTGGGTGCGCTGCTCGCTCCGCTCACGCACGTGCCTGTTGCGCATTGCTGCGCATGTACTGTTTACTGAAAACTGTTCTGCGCATGCGCAGAAACATGCCGGCGACAGGGGAAGAGACTGGGGAACCGGTTCGGGGACGTAGCAGGCCTGGGTCGCTTCCGGTTCCAGTGACCCAGGCCGCTGAACCGATCGGAACCCACCACTGCCCCCTTTGAGCATTTTTATAACCAGAATTGCCAGCAACTCACGAATTGCATGTGCCCGTGAGCGTCTGGCTGTGTGCTGATTTCAGTTTCAAAATCACCTTGAAAACTGAAGCCCAGATAATACTCTTTGACTTTCTGCTTTCCACATTTATGACCATTTAACCTGCTGATAACTTGTTGTGACCTTCCACCTTCCATCCCAGCAGGTTGCCATGCGGCGTCCTAAACATTTACTGCTTGCACGGCATGCCTTGGCTGTTGAAAGCATTGAATGTCCATTAAGACAAGAGCCACTTCTAGAGCAGCAGAATTGTGAGAGATTTGCGGATAGATAGCTAACTGAGTGGGAGAAGTTTCCGAGAGCAGGGCTCTCCCCACTTACCAATTAAAACTTTGTTTGATCAAGCTCTGTCCGGCTTATTGAGGTTTTTTTTTAGTGGTGTGAGGGTCAAGGAGTAGATGTGGAGATCACGGTTGATTCCAAGCGATGGGAAAGGGAAGGGAGGATCAGCTGCTAAGCGAACAGGAAAAAGGAATAAAACAACAGCAAATTCAATCTGCAGGTTTTCAAGAAGTGAGGAAGGGGGTTTCCTGAGAAGGCTGGGGGGCATACTTACCTGAGTCTCCCTGGCAGGCTCCACCTTTAATAGAGAGCCCAAAGGAAGACGACGCTGCGATTACAACATCTCGGTCCGCAACAGAAAGCCTCCGAGAGTGGTGGAGCCTACTTGGAAAGAACACCAGGGAGAACCGCGTGAGATTAACCTCCTCTGGGAATCCTTGGCCAAGGAGTTGGGGGCCCAGAGCGGCCATCTGAGGCTGCTTATCTGAACAGCCAGATGGTGCAGCAGGTGGGGGAGAGAGAGAGAGAGGGAGGAAAGGGCTATAAAAGTCCCTGGACTTCACAACTTTTACCGCCCCTTTATTCCCCGAACAAAAAGGCTTACAACTGACACCCAAGAGCGTTCCTGGAGAGCGGAAAATAAGAGTCCAACGATGCTGAGGCTACTACCCTGTTTCCCAGAAAATGAGACCTCCACGGATAATAAGCCCAATTGGGCTTTTGAGCGCATGCGCTAAAATAAGCCCTCCCCCGAAAATATTGCAACACAGCAGCAGCCATGAGGTGACCATGCTCGCTGCCTTCTACACCTAAAAAATAATAAGACCTCCCCGAAAATAAGGCCAGGTGCAAAATAAAATAAGACCCTGTCTTATTTTGGGGGAAACATGGTACTTGAATCTCAGCGATTGGAATTTGGTTTCTATGCTTCATGGCCAGGACCGGAGTGTTCAGCCTTTTCTAAAAGCCAGTGTCCAAATCAGCTTCCCCCCACCACATCCCCACCCCAAAGAGCCCTTGTCTGCCTTGGTTATCGTTACAATTACTCTTCTTCCATTCATCCCACCGTCTAAGCTTGTCTTTCCTGAACTTGCTGGCTACAGCATCGACAATTAGCAGGTCGTAAACGAAGCTGGATTGTGTTCAGTTGAAAGCGCCCTGTTAAACGTAACTTTAAAAAAGAGGGACAGTTAGGAGCTCCTCTCTCGGATATTTAGCCGATT